CTTTTAAATTCCTGAGGCTTGTTTTATGGCCTAGAAGATGGTCTTAGTAAATGTTCTTGTGTATTCTGCTGTTGTTGGCTGGGCTGTTCTAAAATGCCAATAAGGGCTGAGGTTAATACTACCCTTACTGACTTTCTAGGTACTTGTTCTATCAATTATTGAAATTTCCCTCTATAATTATACATTTGTCTATGTTTCTATACTTACATCAGTTTTTGCTTTGTGTATTTTGAAGCTGTTATTAAGTGCATAGAAGAACAAAGTTGGAAACCTTATTCCAAAACTTACTATTAAGCTACAGTAGCCAAAACAGTATTGGTATAAAATAGACACACAAATTAAAAAAAAACTATGCAGAAATAGATCCACATATGTATGGCCAATTGGTTTTCCACAAAGGTGTCAAGCAATTCACTTGGGGAAAAGACTAATCTTTTCAAAATGATATTGGAACGACTGGATAGCAGCATGCAGAAAGGTAAGCCAACCCTCACAACATGTACACAAAACTTAATTTGAAATGGATCATGGACCTAAATGTAAGGGGTAAAGCTATAAAACTTCTAGATGACAACATAAAAGAAAATCTTAGTGATTTGTTTTAGGCAAAAATTTCTTAAACAGAACACAAGAAGCACAACCTTTAAAATTAAAAAATAATTGACGGGGTGCCTGGCTGGCTCAGTCAGTAGAGCATGCAACTCTTGGTCTCAGGGTAATGAGTTCAAGCTCCATGGTGAGTGTAGAGATTATTTCATAAAAAAAAGTTTGGTTTGGGGCACCTGGGTGGCTCAGTTAGTTAAGCATCTGACTTCGGCTCAGGTCATGATCTCACAGTTCAGGTGTTCAAGCCTCACATTGGGCTCTGTGCTGACAGCTCAGAGCCTGGAGCCTGCTTTGGATTCCGTGTCTCCCTCTCTCTGCCCTTCCCCCACTTGTACTCTGTTTCTCTCCCTCAAAATTTAAAAAAAAAAACAAACAAAAAAAAAAAAACACTGAATTTTTTTTAATATTTAAAATATTTCACTGCATGTTTAGAACTTTCTTTTACAAACTGTTTTAAATTTTGAGGTTTATATTACATAAAAAGGTAACAAATCCTAAGTGTTTTATCACACACTCCATGTTAGTGAATTAACACAAAGCAAGCGCCCATGTACATACCACCCCGAGAAATAAACTGTGAGCAACCCAGAAGGCCTTGAACTCGTTCCTTCCTTTCAAAAGTTCACCATTATCCAGTCTTGTACAAGTATAATATTGCTTGTTTATAAACTCTCACTTAAAAAAAACTATGTAGTAGAGTTGACCTTATCCAAGAAGAGGTCTGGCCTTTGTCTTAGGCTCCTGGGAGGTAATCTCTAAGCCTTTGCAATATCCTGCCTGAAAAGGATCTGTTTACCTGGGGGGGCCTCCAGACGAGCTAGAGATGAAAGGTCAGCCATATGGGTGGTCAACCATGTGCGTGTAGTTAAGCCCTCAGTTAAAAATCTGAACCCAAGCCTCATGTGAGCCTCCATGGTTGGCAACACTGCATGTGTATTATCCTACCTGCTGCTGGGAGAAGTCAGCTCCATCCAGATTTCACCGGGAGGTGGCAACAGAAAGTTCCATGCGTGTAACTCTCCTGCACCTCTTCCCTTGGCTGATTTTAATCTGTAGCCTTTTGCTGTAATAAGCAATGGTCATGAGTATGACAGTTTCAGTGAGTCCTGTGAATCCTTCTAGCAAGTGACCAAACCTGAGGATACTCTTGGGAGCCCCTGAACTTGCAGTCAGTGTCACAAGCGAAGGTAGTCTCAGAGACACCTGCACGCTGAAGGAATTGTATGGTCTTACTTTGTGAGGTTTGTTACTCAGCATTATGGTCCTGAGATCTATTCACAGTGTACCTTGTGAAGACGATTTATTCACTTCCACTGCTTAGGTAGTAACATTCGATTCACTTACTCTACTGCTGATGGACATTGGGATTTTCCTTCCAGTTCTGCCTTATAATTATTGATAGATCTGGAAGGAAAAATAGAGAAATCCACAATCATAGCACGAAATTGTGATGTATCTGTTGCAACTAATAAGAGCAAGCAAAAAGACAAAAAATCAGTAAAACCATAGGTTTTTAATACACAATTAACAAATTAGATTTGATGTCATTCAATTCCTGAAACTCTTGAGGGCTTTCTCTGGGACTAATGATAATAAACATGTTTCACACACACACACTCTATTCTTGCACTGCTCTGAGAGCTGTTATCCCAGCTAATTGCAGAACAACTCCTCCAGCACTACAGCTGAGAAAACTGGAACACAGACAAGGGAGGGAGATTGTCCAGAGTCTCCGGCTAAAACTAATGGCAGATCGAGAATTCAATTTCCAGTCTGAATCAAGAGCCAAGTTCTGAATTCCTATGCGGCTTTTTCAACACCTTCCATTTTCTGCCTCTTCTTGAGTTCATGTATTTGCATCCTCCTTGAAAATCGCCCATTTCATCTAGATTTTAAAAGTTATTCGCAGGAGCTGAGCTTCACATTGCAATGTGAAGTTCTAGAATTTCTGTCAGAATAAAACTGCTTTTTTGTAGCCCCATAATTTGTCTTTTCATATCATGAACCTTATACATTCATCTGGAGGGAACAGTTACAATCTTGCAGTGAAGATTCCACGACAAAAACAATCGTCGTCTCATCCGAGACCTATTCATCACGGCCGGTTTCGGAAAGCTTGACGCTGGAAAATAAACATCTCAACAATAACAACAGACACAATTGTCTGGGCGTCATCGTTCACAGGAAGCAATTTTTCTTGAAGTAGTCTTAAGCATAACTGCTATAAAAGCAACGAATGTTTTAAAAAGTACTTTCCTTTTGCGTGATCATCTGAGCTACGGTTGACTTTCTACCTTTGTTCTTCCTGGAAACTTGACCTGAGTGGTAAGTTGACTGAGTGTGAAGTATTTGGAGGTAAAAACTGCTGACTGCGCCCAGACTGGTACAAACCATGAAGGAACTGGAGACACCTGGTAGTGACACCACAGCTGTGGCTGTAAGGGCATAATTAAGTCTGACCGACCATTCTAACTTTTGCTACTTAAACAAAGGAGTTATAAGAGCCCACTGGGGTTGCCTTTAACACCTGGTCAATACATCAGGAATACCAACTAATTCTCGGTAACCAACTACAGTCAGGATTCGTGGTTACCGCAGCCCTTTGGAAATGATCCTTTGTTCCCGGGGAAAACCTCCAAGTCCTGTTTCACTTCTCACTACCTGGCACATAGGATCAATTTCATTTGCATACCGGCTGTCCTTCTTCCACAACGGAAGTTCAAGGAGGGCAGGAGCTTTCACTCTTGCTCACAGCTCCACTCACAGTACTTAAATACATAGTAGCGGTTCTGTAAGTATTTGTGGGATGAACGATCTGATGGGCTGAAATTCTACTGAGCACCTACTACGTGTCAAGCCTGCGTTAGGACGGTGAGGGGGGAGAGGTTATCGTCTGTGACTTTACAGAGCTAAGAGTCAAAGTCTTCAGACAATTCTCTGCTGTCCAGAAATACTTCTTTATTAAAATGTTGTATGACTGCATCACTAAGATTCTACGTGATTTAGTTCGCTGAGTAACCTTAATACCAAAACTTTGTCTTCAGAATGCTGCATTCTTACGCTGGGACCCCAAAAACTTCACAAACTACCTCAGTCACTTTTAAAATCCCTCCCTATGCCTCCCTATTTAAGAGAACCGTTCCCACATTTATGGATAAAATGGCCATACTAGTAGCCCAAATGTGTCCTAACTAATCTCTACTTCCAATTTTCTCTCAGGCGTTCTCCTTTCTTTGATTCTTTTCCACACATTTTCTCTTTAAAAAGACAGTAAATTTATGGGGCGCCTGGGTGGCACAGTCGGTTAAGCGTCCGACTTCAGCCAGGTCACGATCTCGCGGTCCGTGAGTT